CTTCCCGAGTCACTGTCCATCCACAGAGATCTAAATGGACCTGCTTAAGGGGGAAGAGATGGGATTTTGCTGTGGGCCAGGGTTCTGGCGAGAATTCTCCACAGTGTTCAGACGGGGTGTCCCATAGCTAGCTGCTCCTCCTCAGCTCCTCAACAGCCAAGCAGAGCTGGGTGGCCCCTGTATTCCAAGGGCACGTTACACGTGGGCTCCTGCTGCAGGACCGGCAAGGACAATCTTCAACATCATTGGTTTCACTGCGATCCTGTCAGGTTTCGTCTCTGGGCTAACAGTCCTTCCTAGATAGTAAAATACAGTAAATATGCCCCTGTGTTGTGGACTATTCCTTTACACCGTGTGAAGATGTGTCACTGTGATTGCTTTCATAAAAAGCTAAACGGTCAGTAGCAAGGCACAGGGTATAAGCGAGACTTCTGGGCCGAGAGCTCTGGGGAGAAGAAAGGCAGAGTCACCAGCCAGACTCAGAATAACCAGGATGGGAATAAAGGAGATGAGGTAATGCGTGCATGGAAGAACAGAGATTTATAAAAACAAAATGGGTTAATTTAAGTTATAAGAGCTAGTTAGAAAGAAGCCTAAACTAAGGTCAAGCTTTCATAATTAATAAGTCTCTGGGTCATTTTTTTGTGAGTTGGCTGCCCAAAAAGAAGTCTGTCTATCCCTGTGGTCCTCATCTATGGTGATATCTTGTTTGTACTATAACAGATAAAGCTTGCCTGAAGATAAAGGGCCGATCTAGCCACTAGTTAACCATAGAGCTCTGGAGGTTTGTACACACAGACAGGAAGTGATATTGCCGGGCAGAGAGAATATACGGCGGGAGGAGGCAGGGTTCAGCCCTTTTTCTCAGCCTTGGTTGAGGAGTTATCAAGGTAAGAGTTGGCTGTGGCTTGTTCCTTTTTCTCTCTGATCTTTCAAGCATTTGCCCCAATATCTGGCTCTGGGTTTTTATTATTAAGACCAATTAGAACTCGTGCAACACTCATCACCATTTTCATTGCCCTTTCTAGCCTCGTAGGCTTTTGGTCGCATAAGTTACTGAGGGAGAGTCAGGGTGATGGCTGAGCAGATAGAAGTATTTGCTATGCTACCCTGGCAACCTGCGTTTGATCCCTTGAGTCCACATAAAAGTATGGACACTGCAGATGGGGAAGGTGAGACTCAACTCCACACTCACAGTGTGCCACATGACCACATGGAGCAAGCAGTGTGTGTGTGTGTGTGTGTGTGTGTGTGTGTGTGTGTGGCTTTTAAAAAGAAGCCAAGGGAGCTCGCGGGTTTGGTAAATTTTAACGATTGTACTGAAGGAGGCACATTCCTTTAAACTTGCCTGCCCTGGCAGCATTTAGCTTCTCTCCCGTGCAGGCCCACAGCCAGTGAGGCCAGGTCCGACAGGAGGAAAGCTGAGGGACAATTCAATGGCAGCAGAAGGCAGTCTTCCAGTTCATTCCCCCAGCAGTTCCTGTTGCCAGGACAAGCGTGTGGCTGGGGATCAGAGCAGAGAAACAGGCTGAAGCAGAGCTGCCTGCAGACCCCAAGTGCGGATTCCCCTCTCCTGCAGTTTGTTCAATTCCCAGGCTTTAAAAATCGTGCCAGGGCCTCAGAGAAACTGCTTCCCTAAGCTGTCTGTCAGGCTTCATCTGCACACCCAGCTTGGCTTGTGTGGTGGCTCCCGGGAACTGAAAGACAGGGGTTCCCAGGAGCTGGTCATCCACAAACACTGTACCTCTGTTTCCACGGTAGCTCTGGGCACTACTAACAGGAACATGGTTGATTCTCTTCAAGGCTTCGTTTGCTCTGTTTTAATTCTTTGCTTCCCTTTGGCCATCACTTTACCACTGCATTTTCCCAGAGACTATACCTGACATAACCCCAGTCATCCAGTGTGGCTGGCTCTCCACACCCCTCCCCAGGCCCATAGGACACTCGAGAGTGAGTGTCTATGTTGTACTGACTTTGAAAGAACCATGAGGTACTAGAACATTCTCAAAACAATTCATTTTTATATAAAACAACCACTGCCACTACCCCAAATAAAAAAACAAAAGGACACCTGGATAGAGGCAGTGATGAGTCACTCACTCCAAGCTGCACTTTCCGGAACAGGTCAGCAGGGTCACATGAACAATGGAAGAACACTCTGGCAGCAAAGTGATCCCAATTGAACACCGCTATGGCTGAGTTCAGAGGTGAAGTAGCCACAGACCCCCACTTGGCCTCATTCCCTGTCCTGCATTCTCTGCCTTCTGTGTGGGGGCAAAGGGAATGAACACGTTTCTAAGTCTCCTTCACTCAGACAGGCAGGGCTTAGCAGTGAGTGAGCCATAAGAAACATATTGGCTTGTCTCCATCTAAACCAGTGGTTCTCAAACCGGGGGTCACGACTACTGGTGGCGGCGGGGGGGGGGTGTTGAATATCAGATATCCCGCATAACAGATATTTATGATTCATCTCAGTAGCAAAATGACAGTTATGAAGAGGCAACAAGAATTATTTTATGGTTGGCGGTCACCACACTCTGAGGAATTGTATTGAGGGGATGCAACATCAGGAGGCCGAGACTCCCAGCAGTATAACTGACACGCGGATAATCATAGATACGCCCTGTGAAAGGGCCTTTTGACCCCTGGAGGCTGAGAGCCACTGCCCTAGACACTCGCAGGGGTGAGGATGCCAGAGACCACGGAGCTCTTAAGCCTTGCATAGATGAGTTCACCACGACCTGAAATTTTCCTCACTGCAGTCAGTAGGTGCAACTCTATAGACACCAGAAAGGGTTTCCTCTAATCAGGTCAGGAAAGAAAACCGCTTTAAAATCCCTGGGCTCCAGGAAGTGTAAGAACCTCAAGAGGGATGGATTGAAACGAGGATGGATATGGGAAGTATTTTGGAAGAGTACAAAGCAGGTCCCTGCTAAGGGACAACTCTCTCTGCCTCTGGACTGGAACAGGCCCAGGTAGGCTTGTCTGTCTACACTTGCTCCGTGTGCAGTGCGGTTCAGCATCCACAGATGCCTCTTCCCTGGGGAGGCTGAGGATTAGGAAGACCCAAAAGGACGTGCACTTATTTCTAATTCCCAGAGGACATGAGGCACATGTTGGCCTTATAGAACAATCACCACCCTTCCGTCATTTGTGCTAACGGCACAGATAACAGACACAGAACAAGGAATTGAGGGGCGGATGACACACTGGTTAGGTTCAAACTCAGAGATGCGTCTGCCTCTGCCTCCTGAGTGCGGGCATTAAAGGCTGTCAAGGAGACCTGAGTTCAGCTGCCAGCACTCATGCCCAGTGGCTCACAACTACCACTAACTCCAGCTGGAGGGGATCTGAAAACTCTGGTCTCCATAGGCACCTGTACTCACGAGCACACACCAACAGAGGCATCATTAAAAACAAAGCTTTTTGTTTGTTTTTCCGAGACAGAGTTCTCTGTGTAGCCCTGGCTGTCCTGGAACTTGCTCTGTAGACCAAGCTGGCCTGGAACTCACAGAAATGTGCTGCCTCTGCCTTCCAGGTGCTGGGATTAAAGGCGTGTGCCACCACTGCCCAGCTTTGTGTTTTTCTTTTTATTATTACCAAGCTAGGTGTGCCTGCTAAAATAGAGTATCCTCATGTAACTCTTATCTGTTTACCCTATCTTCCAAGGCAGATGTCAGGGTGTGTGGGCGAACTTACGAGAAGTGAGCCCCTTCACAGAGGAAGATGAACGTGTATGTGAGCCCAGTCATGGAGGAAGATGAACGTGTATGTGAGCCCATCATGGAGGAAGATGAACGTGTATGTGAGCCCAGTCATGGAGGAAGATGAACGTGTATGTGAGCCCAGTCATGGAGGAAGATGAACGTGTATGTGAGCCCATCATGGAGGAAGATGAACATGTATGTGACCCAGTCACAGAGGAAGATGAACGTGTATGTGAGCCCAGTCATGGAGGAAGGTGCGTGTGTATGGTTTGTACGTTCAAGGCACTCGTGTCATCCGAAGCCCACATGTGTGTGGAAGAGAAATCCCAACAGCACAGAAGAGAACGAGGGAGCCGTCTATTCAGATCACCAACTGGTGAATTAGCTAACTCCCCATGTGAAAAGAAAGAAAAGTATTTCAGAAATAAAAACAAAAATTCCGACTGAACTCTTTTACTATGTTGATAGCAACGTGGAGACTGAATTGATTTCTGTCGATTTAGAACTCAGCAAGGCAACCAACTTGGTCAGTTTAACTGAATGGCTGCGACGGAAATTGTCTGGCGATGTAAGACTTGGTCCTTCATTGCTGTAGCTGGACAGCAGTCTGGGGGCAGAGCAGCAGCCTCCAAAAACACCTGCAAACCTCCTCCAATTCATCAGCACAGCCAGTTCTGTGTTTAAAAAACAGCCTACTTCCCCCAGACCTGAGTCACTGCGGGAGGCAGGCTGGCCAATGCCAATGACTCTGCTGTATGTCATGCTCATGGTTGCCAAGTTTAGACAGAAACGTATCCGTTCACCTTCTCAGAGATTTCTGCACTTTTCGCAATGCATGGGCCCTCTGTAACCTTCACTCAGCCCGATTTCAGCAACCCCACACACAGTCCACTCCTTGCACAGGAAGGGCACACAGCAGCCTCAGCCATAGCCTCCTTTCTAAACTCCAGACTCTGTGCTGGCTGACAAAGACTGCCCATGCAAACAAGCAGCAAACCCAATGTGACTCTTAGGGTAGCGACCCTTGCAGCTGTCTGCTCTGGAGAGCAGGTCTTCTGCTGACAACAGGCAAAACGACCTCAACACGTGCTCGGTGGAGATAACGCGGGAGAGTGAGGTTCTCTAGCAAGCCAGAGGGTTCTGCTGGAGTGACAAGGGGCCGTGGACTGCCTTCTGCAAGCCAGGAGGAAAGCAGATAAAGTGGGAACCATCCAGTGCCCACAGTGCCTTTAAAGTCCTTCCTTTAAAGTGGCTGTCTGCGGCTTGTCTGAGCAACCTGCCTCTGGCGAGCAACCTGCCTCTGGCCTTGGCGCTGGGAAAGGGAAAAATTGAACTGGGTCACTGCAGGACACAGCAGAATGCAATATATGCTCTGGGGCAGAGGTTCTCTCGCGCTCCTGATGCTGGGACCCTTTAATATAGCTCTCCATCTTGTAGTGACCTGTCCCCAACTGTAAAATTACTTTTGTTGTCACTTCATAGCTGTAATTTGTTACTGTTATGCGTTGTGATGTAAATGTCTATTTTCTGATGGTCTTAGGTGACCCCTCACACACAAAGGTGTCATGACCCACAGGTTACTAGGGATACTGCTAAGCTGAGTCCCTTAGCTCCTATCCCCTGTACACCCTCTTCCAGTGAGACATGTGGCTAGCAGTCACAGGCACCACCAGCTTTTGCCATGTAACTTTAAATGTCAGGGACAAAGGAAGGCCGCTGGAGGGAGGACAAGGGAAAACACGTTTCTGTGCTTTCAGCTTTCTTCTTCTAACTGAGCATCCAGGGACATGTGGGAAGTTCAGAGTCAAAGTGTGGAACACTAAGGAGCAAGTGGCATTTAATGTGCTGTGAGCTTACCTGACCACAACCACCTTCATAAAACCCAGAGCCCGTGACAATGCAGTGAGTAGTCCAGCTACTGACGACCAAGGTAGGGACTGCAGTTTTCATGCGGAATCTACCTTGGGCACTCTGGGTCATTTGTGACATCCAGTTAGCTTCGCTTGAGATGGCAGAGGAAGGACACGTGAGCTGGCTTTGAGATCAGTGTGGGTTGGCTACTGTAACGAACAGCTAAGATGTTGAACTTTATTGTGGCATGCGGTTCAGAGGTCTCAGTCTCTTGACTGACCAGCCATGTGGTCCTAAGCCTGGGATATCAAATCACAATGGAGTGTGTGGCAGAGCAAAGCCTTCACTTAACAGCCAGGAATTAAAGAGGAAGAGGGTGAGACCGGGGCCCCACAATCCTCTTCCAGAGCATGTTCACAATGACCCAATACCTAACACTGCAGCCCATCCCTTCCCCTGCAGTGCTGGGGAGCAGGCCTTTAACTCACTGGCCTTTGGGGGAAATTGGCAGAGCAGAGCAGTACCCACAGGATTCTTCGGTAAAGGTAGGGTCTGTAAACCACTGAGTACCCAGGATATAACTCAGAGGGAAAATAACAAAGACAAAAGCCCTGAACGCTATGCAGTGATAACTGCTCAGGTGACAAACAGCCACCCGGATTCCTGTGCGAGTCTTTCCACCCAGAATGAGCCCACGGGATTGCCTGCTGGGGTCAGAATTCTAGCTTTGCTCTACGTGCATGCCTTCCACAACTCCAAACTACCCTCCCAGACAGATGCTGAGGGACAGGAGAGGAGAGAAACAGCACATATCTTTAGAATATCTTTGATCTTAAAGAGATTTAAACCCAGAGCATAACACACGGGTTGAGGTGCCTCTGACGAGACAGACAAAGATGTATTGACCTATAAAAAGTCATTTAATGTATACTCCAGATGGCCAATACAAGCTGGTTAGACAATTAGCCCTTGAAGAGTTCGTTTATAGTCATAGAAAAATGTTCTGCCTTGTTAAAAAAGTTTAGTCAACAAAAACATATCCATCAGCGAATGGGCTTCCATTTTTTTCCATTTGCATGTTTGCAAGGTTAACTAAAAATACATACATATGCATCTCCGAGCGGTCCACTAGCTAATCAGCTTTGGCAATACACTGCACAGGGGTATACTACCATTGGTTTCGGACATTAGGTTAGCTTTAAGCTTGCTGGCTATTCCAACGACTGGAGGCAGCTTGGAGCCCAGTCCCTGGAAAGCAGTTGTAGGATTAACGACCCGTTTCCCTGACACCTTGTCCAGGGTGAGAGGTCTGGGTGCAGACTTGCTAATCCAAGGGTGCCTTAATGCTTGAGCTGGGGTGAGGCGGGCAGAGGGGTCCCACTGAAGACATCTTTTCAGAAACTCTATGAACAAGTAATCTTCACACCCTTTCAGTGCTGTGGCCCAGTCTTTGCTGCCCGGGGGGCCTCGCTTCTTACCCCTGCGTGAGCGACCCCCCAGAAGTACAACCCGCCCGTCTGCCTGAGTAGTCACAGAGCAGTAGCGAGGCAATCCCTTGGAGTTAATAAAGTACTTGGCACGTTTGGATTGCTCCAGGAGTTTTGGTGGGGGCATCCCTAGCAACTCCATCATGCAGGCCAACTGGTCTCCTTCTTCCTCGCCGGGGAACAGAGGCTGTCCTGTCAAGAGTTCTGCAAGGATGCAACCAAAACTCCAGATGTCGATGGGCGTGCTGTAGCGGCAGCCCAGGATGATTTCTGGGGCCCTGTAGAAACGAGACTGGATGTAGGTGTAAAGCTTCTGGTACTCGAAGCAGCTGGACCCAAAGTCGATGACCTTGGTTGCACTGCGCCCGTGATGTTTCAGGAGAATGTTCTCTGGCTTCAGGTCACAGTGAATGATCTTATTTTTGTGAAGAGCGTCCAAGGACTGCAAGATGGACTGGGCAAACTTGCGAACCAACTGGACACTGAAACCCTGAAACTTGTTTTTCTTAATGAGCTCATACAAGTCTATGCTCAGCAGCTCAAAGGCCATGCACACATGGTTCCGGAAGGTGAAACTTTCGAGCATGTGGATAACATTCATGCTACCAGTTTTATCCTGTTTCTTCAGATGCTCCAAAATCCGGATCTCCTCAGCTGCCTGACGATGAAAACGCTTCTCGTTACGCACCATTTTTAGGGCCACGTACTGTCGCAGTTTGTGATCATAGACACGGGCTACCTGTCCAAAACTCCCCTTGCCAATAATTTTCAACACTTCATAGCGGTAAGCGAGATGGTCCCGAGGCACATGAATATAGGCCCCGTCCGCGTCATCATATCCCCCATTATTGGGGCCACCAATAACTCCCTGTCGCTTTTTGGCATTTGGACCCACGAAGTAGATTTCTGGGTAGCTGATGATCTCCAGCTTCTCATAGGCAGTGAGGTGGTGTTTATACTGCTTCAGGGCTTGCTCGGGAGTCAGCGGCAGCACTTTCGATGGTTTGGATGAACTGCTGGATTTCACCGTGTTCAGGCTTTCGGAACTCTTCCCCTGAGAAACAGGAGAGGACTTTTCACAGTTGCTACCGCCATCCGACTGAAGAGTACTGGATCTCCTGTTGCCAAATTCTTGAAACAGCTGTTCTACCTTCATCTCACTTCCATTCACGAAGTGATGAGTGTGATTTCTCGTCAATGGCTCAGTGGTACTCTACAAAAGAGAAACACGCGAACTGTTAATGGCACTAGACTACTAGAAAGGCAAAAGGGCCTTCTTTTTTGTTTTTTGAGACAGGTTTCTCTGTCAAACAGTCCTGGATGTCCTGGAACTCGCTCTGTAGACCAGGCTGGTCTTGAACTCATAGAGATACACCTGCCTCTGCCTCCCGAGTGCTGGGATCAAAGATGTGCACCACCACTGCCCTGCTACAAAAGGGACTTCTAACTAATCAATATCAAAACATGTCAGTCACTTTTATTCTAAAGTTAAAAGACCCAAACCGGACTGAAGAGATGGCTCAGCGGTAAGAGCAACTGCTACGCAAGAGTGGGGACCTGAGTTCAGAGGCTTCTGTAAAAAGTTGCCCTTGGGCCTGAGACCCCAGTGTTGAGGGGGACAGAGACAGACACCCAGACCAGTTCCAGGTTCGGTGAGAGATCTGTGGTGGAGAATGTTAGAGCAGGATAGGTGACACACAGGTCACACACACACAGGTCACACACACACAGGTCACACACACACAGGTCACACACACACAGGTCACACACACACAGGTCACACACACACAGGTGCAGGGGGACAAAGCCCTAAATAAGAAAGCACCAGTCTCTGGACATGCATTTCATTGATTCTTGGATTCCCTGAACACACCCACCCCAGACCCTAGATCCTACATATGGCCAGCTATGTTCAAGACAGGGTGACTTCAACATGCTGTCTTCCTTCTCTTAGGCCTTTGAACTGAGACTCCTCTACTCTGCCATCTGTTCATATCCTATACACCTTCAGGACCCAACTCCAGTCTTCTGTAGTACCGTACTAATTTAGTCTCATACTTTGACTATGCTTATTATTTCTTGGTGGGGAGGAGGGCATGGGCCCAACACACAGATGGAGGGCAGAGAATACTTCCAGTTCTCTCCTCCTACCATAGGACTCCCAGGGACGAGCTCAGGCTTGGCTTGAAGAGCCTTTACCACAGAGCCAGCTTACTTTTAGAAATAAAAACCAGGAGTGAGTTCCCGGCTTCCTTCCATCTATTCAATACTCACCAGGTCTACTGTTCACATACACTTGGAACCCATACTAAAAAATAAGTACTCTTAAGACGTTTAATCTCCATATAAGGCTGAGCTAGGCAAAGAATAATGCCTTTAGTTATATTTATATATAAAAAATCAACTGGTCTTTTTCTTGAATAATTTCCTATCTAGTTTTAATACACCTAAATATTTACTGCTAATGCCTTTGGAATACACTATAGGTATAGACACAGTTGAAAGGTCTGTGCTGGGGCCCTGGCTGCCCTCCTCAAAGCTCTCGGACCTGACTATTATTTGAACCTGTCAGAACTTCTTCTGCTTCTTGGTCTATAAAATGTGGACAATACCTACTTGTAGCATGTTGTGGGAATCAAACTATAACCAAAACATGAAAAACTTACAATCTATAAAGCATATTCAAAATACTAGCTACAACTTCTTAAGCCCCCATTCTCTTTGCCCCTTCCCCCTGTTGATTTTTTCTTCTTCGGTGGCTTCCTCCACACCACAGGCTCCCTCTACTGAACATCTAGCAAAGAAGGGCCCAGCTTTCCCATGGGAAAACCTAATTCTCATTCTCCCTCGCATAAAGCCCACCTTCTGCTTGCTAGTCAATGTTTTATGTTAACTTTCCAGGTATATTCAACTTTAAGATAAAATGCTGCCTCAATGCAAAGGAAGGCCTCTCTGGGCGTCACTGTCAGCCTCTGGTGGACAAGTATCTGTGGTACTGGGTCTGACCCTGCAATTCCTCTGCCTTGTGGGAGATCCTGAAGGTCTTCACCTCACTTCTGTGTGTGATGGAGAAAGGGGTCTCCTAAGAACAAGTATTTAATAGAGGTCTAATCGTCATAGAATTATTTTAACAAAACTAAAAATGCCACTGGGATCTCCGGACTCCCATTTCTCCCATATGTTGAGCCTTATCTGCACTCTCTGAGAATCAAGTGCTAACTCACAGGCGGGAATTTCCCAGGCCACGCCCATCCCCCCACCCCTGGAAATGTAAACAGGGCTATCCTTTCCTGGCCCCCTCTGATTCTTCCATCATCCTCATTTCCTTCTCTGGCCTCACCTGTGCCTGCCAGGCTCTCTCATCATCCTGGCCACGCTCTCCCTGTTCACACTTGCATCTGTGGGATGCACGGTGTCTCTCTTGAAGAAGTATGGCCCCTAAGACAGTAAGTAGCTCAGAAGCAGTCCGCTACAGATTATCAAAGTTCAGGTCTGCAGCAAACAGGGGGATTCCATCAAGGATTCTTCCACACAGGAAGGGGATCTTTCCTTACCAGTCTTCTCTTTCTTATAAATCTCAAATCCTGATAAGAGTCAATTATATTCCAAATCTTCTGGGCTATAATGAAACATTCTTTCCATTTCCCCCCTCAATCTACAGTTATTATGCTTTGAATGCAGATGGCCCCCATAGGCCCACAGAGTGGACCACTAGGAGGTGTGGCCTTGTTGGACAAGGTGTGTCACTGGGGGTGGCTCTGAAGTTTTAGATGCTCACACGAGGTGGTCCAGTGTCACCCTTTCTTCCTGCTGCCTGCTGACCCAGATGAAAAACTCTCAGCTACCCCTCCAGTACCATGTTTGCCTGTCTGCTGCCATGCTCCCCACCACCATGATAATGGGCTAAACCTCTGAAACTGTAAGCCAGACCCAATTAAATGTTTTCCTTTATAAGAGCTGCCGTGGTCACTATGTCTCTTCACAGCAATAGAAACCCTAACTAAGACAACAGTGTTCATATGTAAGATATTAATAGTTATAAAATACTATGTATTTTTAGCCTAGGTTATAATTTTGATAATCAGAAAGGTATACAATGGACTCAACCAAATGTTTTGTTAACCATGTTATTATGTAAAGAGACAGATCAGGGGGGAGTTACCATGTTCTATTTCTTAAGAATGCTTCACTGATGTGGAAAACATAATGTGTTTTACATAAAGCGTGCTCTATTAGATGAGTCCTAAAAATCCTGTTGGGAAATTCAGAATGAATAATCTTCTGACCTAGATATAGAAACTTACCCTTGGAAGTAGAAGATATACTTCAGTTGGTAGAGTATTTGCCTAACATGCATGAGGTCCTGGGTTCAATCCCCCCTCACCCCCATCTGCCTTCAATCTCCGAAACAAAGAACTCAGTCCAATAAAAGCCTTGTGGCAAATAATTTACACTTTAGATGAGTCCGTGTAAAGCACCTTGAAAAGCACTGAAGCCACTGTGTGAAGACAAACAGGCACTCAGATGATGGAATCATGGCACTATGAACTTTAAGTGCTCCCAGGGGTCAAAAAGCACTTTTTCAGAAAAGTCTGCAAATAACAGGGAGACAGAAGTGTTTGCAAGGGTGCCAGAGTTCAAAGCCTCAGAACGCATGTCAATGCTGTGTGGGCATAGAGCCCGTCTCAAGACAGAAACTGAGCAAGCTGGCTAGTAAGACTAGTCATTCCTACCTGAGAGCTCTTGATTGAGAGACCCTACCCCAATGAATAAGATAGAAGAGAATACATGCACATCACACACACAAGAAAAGTGGATGCGGGGGGGGGGGGGGGGGGGTTTAAAAAAAACTTACAGTGACATGTTGGATTAGAATTTAAAATCTTAGGGTTTTCCCGTGAGTGTCACTCTGAACACCATGATGTAATAAATTAACTTGACGCCAAAATACAATCTTAAGTGACCTACTGGACAGAGAGCGGCATGGATCAACTCTGAACTAAGTTAAACGAGGGTGGCGTCAGATGTCAATACGCAAGATCTTCTGCAGGAGTTTTCAGCGCAGCGCTGGGCTGACCAGACTGGAAGATATGTTGGGCACCAGAGATGGTTCTGGACTTCTCTGAGGTTTTCTGATACCAGAGAAATAAACTCACAGGGATGGAAAAAACCTCCACCACACTCCAGAAGAGATTTAAAGATAGTATGACCAGACTTCCAAATATTTTGAGACCATGCTAAGTAATATCATCAGTCTTGAAAGTGGTAAAAACTAGAGAAGAAGTAGGAACAATTACAAGACTAACAAGATGGCTGTGCTTACCAGGAAGCTTGCCACCAAGTCTGACACCTGCACGTGAGGACACACAAAACTTGAACAAATAGATAAATGCAAAATTTTTAAAGTCAAATGACAGAGTAAAGTAAGAAAGGGACAATTTCCAAGTGGTAAGTAGAAACACGGAAGGGAAGACTACCAAGCAGTCAGCCCTGCGCCTCAGAAGCTCCGTGACGCAACACATTGTAGCACATCTCCAAGTCACAGACAGGCGCCTCGCCTTGGAACTGGTCCAGGCTCTGCTCTACTCCTCTCCTTATGCGGAGGGACAGACTGTACTGTCATTTCTTTATGACCTGAAGCCAGTGTCGGGAGCTAAAGGTCTGCAGTTCCTAAAAGGATTTGAATGCATCAAAACCCATCCTGTATTGTTTCGGCTTAATCTGTGAGTTAAAACAAAACCAAAACCAAAACCAGCTGTTGCTCACATACTGATCAGCCAGGACCGAAAAGGAAAGATGAGCTGATTATGAATTCTGACATTTTTTTCCCTTGTTGTTTCTGTTAAAAGAAGCATTTGTAATACCCTACATTATGTCATCTGCTATAAGAAGAAATATCGCCTACACAAGAGGATCCCCCTGCTCTACCACCTGCCATATTTACCCTAAGAGAAAGTACAAGGTAGGCAAGGACTTCAAAACTGTTCCAAAGGCTGAACTCAAACCACGTGACAGTTTTCCCTGAGTCAGGATCAAAAGCAAACCAAACACGGTGGCATACCCACTTAATACCAGCACTCTAGAGACAGAAGCAGACGCATCTCTGCTTGAATCCAGCCTGGTCTACGTGAGAGTTTCAGGCCAGGCACAACTACATACCGAGACTCTGTGTCCCGCAAAAATTTTTAAATTGTTTTAAAAACTGAAAGAAACCCCTCAAAACAGAAAAAAAAAAAAAAAAAAAAAAAAAAAAACCTCAAAACAAAAGAAACAAACCACCAAGACAGAGGGAAGTCTGTCCTGAGCAGCATGACGTAGCCCTTCCTTTACTTACATTTAGTCTTCTGGAGAGAGGTGCTTCAGCAGGATTGCAGGGTGTGTTTAAACAGGGGGGGCATCTGGTTTCATCTATCATCATGAAGGTATCGTAGACACCATCCCCCAGCCTAGTTGGAAGGGTTCCAGAGAAAACCGGTCAGTAAACAAACAAAAGGAGCTTGCAGTTTCAAAACACCCCAGGCCTGAACTGTTTCTCACCCCTTCCGCCACTGCTCATAAACAAGTGGGGCCCTGGGCAGTGGATGAGAAGGATTTCAATCTTTCTCCATTTTTATATTTTTGGTGTGAGCCTAGCCTTTAATGCCCGAGCCATCTCTCCAGCCCTCTTTTTTATTTTTAAAAATTAATTACAAAGCGCTGGTTGTCCTGGAACTCACTATGTAGACCGAGCTGGCCTTGAATTCACAGGCCTTGATCCGACAGTCTACATCTCTGCACCACCACTCTTGGCTCCTTTTTTCTTTTTAAAGAAAGAAAACTATTTCTAGACTCAAATTTTAAAATAGTTACAACAGGCTAGATGTTATGGTGTACGTCTTTAATCCCAGCACTCAGGAGACAGGGTCGGGTGGATTCCTGTGAGTTCAATGCCAGCCTGGTCTACAGGGTGAGTTCCAGGACAGCCAGAGCTACATAATAAAGAGACTCCTTCTCTAACAAAACAATAAATAAACAAAATGGTTACAACAAATCTTACTTTCTGAATGTTCAAAAAAAAAAAAAAAAAACAAATGAGGGGCCATCAATTAACATACTACTTGAAAATGAAGACCAATTTGAATAGGAAACCTAAAATCAGAAAAAAATAAACAGGACAGAGGTGTTTGTTGTCTCAGGACTTGGATTCTTTTTTCTTTTTTGGTTTTTCGAGACAGGGTTTCTCTGTGGCTTTGGAGCCTGTCCTGGAACTAGCTCTGTAGACCAGGCTGGTCTCGAACTCACAGAGATCCGCCTGCCTCTGCCTCGCGAGTGCTGGGATTAAAGGCGTGCACCGCCATCTCCCGGTTTTGGATTCTTATCCGCAGGTGCCGCCTTCCCCTCGGGCGATGGCGGTGCACACCTTTAATCCCAGCACTCGGGAGGCAGGGGCAGGCGGATCTCTGTGAGTTCGAGACCAGCCTGGTCTACAAGAGCTAGTTCCAGGACAGGCTCCAAAGCCACAGAGAAACCCTGTCTCGAAAAACCAAAAAAATAAAAAAAATAAACTCACAGGTTACCAGGACGAAAAGATCGAGTAGACACTCTGACAAGCAAGAAACCCTTCAGGGCTGTCTTCTCCTATTTACCTACACACCTACTTACATACAGCCAACCTAACTTGAGAAAAAAGGCAGCCAACAGGAACCGGATGCTTTAAGTTACAAAACGTACTGAATCTCTCTTCTGATCCCACTGTGTTTCCTGGACGATGGGGATGTTTAAAATGCTAAAGGGAGCACACAGATAGAGTCTGTTCTTACACTGTGGATCTGCCACTGTGAAGTCACACAAACAATGGGCAGGATCCACAAGATGGCCTTGAATAATACACTTCATCTGCTACCGACTCTACGGATTTCCCGGCCACACATGGCAATGTTTCACGCTGTCATCTCAGATGATATACTACAAACACAATTGTGACTAGGTAACATTTTTTCATTGTCTTTAAAAAAAATACCATTTTTATATTTCACCTTTAAGATTTGTCTTATAAAATTAGTTCTGGAGTTTAACTGAAGTGTTAAAGGAATAAAAAGAGGGCTTAAAAATACACACACTAAAAAAAAATTTGAAGTATCTTCTTAAGAAGAACGTGTTCATGTTCAAAGTCTCGATGACAGAAGCCAATTTTTTTCTGGATGGGACCGGCCTCTGGCACAGCAAGATGAAATACACAGGAACCCGCACCGCATCTGCAGAGCAGCAGCCAGATGCGAACAACCCGAGAGAATTCCCTCACCCAGGGCTCGGTGCGAAAAGAGGGGCCCCCACAAAACCAGGCGACGTGTGGGGAGCAAGCTCCCCGGGCTGTTGGCTTCTCGAGCAACAGGGCGCGGTTCACAGGTCCTGTGCACAGGTCCCCGGCGTGCTCCCTGCCCCGGCTCTCCGGAGGCCGAGCCGCTCGCCCGCTCCCGCCCTTCCCGCTCACGACGCTGATGGACAGGCAGCCCGGACCCGCAAGGAGTCCTCCCGCTCCCCCCCCCCCGGGCGCCGTTACCTCCGCTGCTGCGGCTGGAGCCCGGTCCCCGGCAGCGCCCCGTCCCTCCTCTCGCGCCCGCGGGCTGCGCCTCCCATCGCGAGCTCGTCCCGTGGCCACAGCGGCGGCAGTTGGCCGGCACGGTCGCCACCAGCACCGCACCTCCTGGCCTCGCTACGAGCGGCGGCTCCGCTCTCGGCTCGCGCCGCGGGGTAGGGAGACCGCGCGGGAGCGGTCGCGTCGCCTAGCAACCGCGCCGCCGCGCCGCGCCTGCGCAACTCCGCCGCGGAGGGGGCGGAGCAAGAGGCTTGCTGCTCACCGAAGTGCACTTATCTCGTTTTTGGTTTTCTTTCTTTCTTTCTTTCTTTCTTTCTTTCTTTCTTTCTTTCTTTCTTTCTTTCTTTCTTTCTTTCTTTCTTTCTTTCTTTCTTTCTTTCTTTCTTTCTTTCTTTCTTTCTTTCTTTCTTTCTTTTTTTCTTTCTTTCTTTCTTTCTTCTTTCCTTTCTTCCTTTCTTTTTACAGAAGAGGAAACTGAGGCCCGAGAAGCTGCGCTTCTTCGTACTCATTTAGCAGTGAAACCAATCCTGAAAGTATCTGCAGCGCAGCCTTCCTGCTCTGCAGGCCCTTTGGAAAACTGCCCGTCTTTAATGTCACATTCTTTCTGAAAAGTTCAGGATGTTAAGCTGACTTCAACAGTTGGAATGAAAGTGAAAAGGAAGGTGGTTAAGTCACACAAGAGGTGGCTGTGTTGAGCAAGGTACCCAACGGATTTCCTACCGCTTCAACAATGAGCCTACTGAATCCACCAGAAAAACCACAAGTCGGACGCGCACGCCACCTGGTGTACACTGGGCGTTATTTCAAAGAGCTTAATTCCATAAATCTTCAAATTTCCACCCAAAACTCCTTTCTGCGGTCCTAAAAGTCACAGTCCCTGTTCTTGTCTCTGAAGATCCACGATCTCTTTACAGTTAGGAATCCGTCCATTTCGGACACTTTAATTTCTTATGACCAGTGTTGTTTTAGCCTCTCTGTGTTATAAATAAAAATGTTTTCTTTGACGATGACCTTTTAAAGTTTTTAAATAGCCTTTTCTTTCTGCCTCTCCTTCACCCACACAACCAGTAGTGCAATCTTGCGTTCGTAGGGGTTTTTATTTGGGCTCTTTGAGTCTTTTGTTTGAAGACGGAGTTCCATGGCAACAAGAGATTCCTCTCAGCTACCAAGATTACAAAATTCTACTAAAGGATCCTGCTCCTGATGAACACCTCAGACTGCTTTACGGCGGCAAAGAGTTGAATGGAACTTGCCTGCACGTGTTTAATTGCCTCGTTGTGAATCACTGCATCTCCCCTTCTGCCTTTACGATTCATCTCCTGAGCCAAGCTGATGCGTTCCTGCTCTGCTCACCCCTAAGTGGGTTGGGGAGTGGATACAGAGGCCCCCTTTGTTTAGCTCCATGTTTCCATGGTCAAGGGAGGGAGAACTCCTTGAGGGTACTGGACTTCATGGCTTTCTGACCTTAGTGACCTAAGTACTTTTCAGTATTTCTTTGAAGGACCCCTGTTTTATAACAACAACCACACCCTCTCTAAAGAACTACCCTGTGACCTCCCGCTATTGAGAAGCCTCTCTTAAGTGTAGTTCAATACACTCACTATGGCAGCCTGTGTACGGAAACTAAAACAATACAAAGAAAACATGGCCACTGCGCAAGGATAAAGTGTTCCATATTTTTATATATTTCACATATGTAAAATATATACTTGATAAACATTAACTGCGCAAGGATAAAGTGTTCCATATTTTTATATATTTCACATATGTAAAATATATACTTGATAAACATTAAAGTAAATAAAGAAGTACATGAAGGTGCGAGGACAAAGCTTTGAGGGATTGAGAAGTGGGAGGAGGGATTTTGGTTTGATATGTTCAGATACGTTGGCTAAGGGCTAGAGAGATGACTCAGTGATTAAGAGCCCTGGATGCTCTTGCAGAGGACCGGCTTTGATGCCCAGCCTCCACATGGCAGTTCACGACCATCCATAGCTCCAATTCCAGGGGGTCCAATGCCCTCTTCTAACATCTGAGAGTGTCAGGCACACATGTGGTGCACTGTCATACATGTGCTCAATACACTCACATACAAAGATAAACCTAAAATGTTTTTCCAAAGACAGATTGGATACATATATAAAGTTATTGAATAACAAATTAAAATATTTTTAAATAAATGAAGAGTGGTTCAAAATCACCATTATCTCTCTCCGAAAAGCTAAAACAAGAATTACCTACCACAGGCTAGCCAAGCCATCTGAGACGTTTGTCTGTCTTTTTTTTTTTTTTCAAAGTGATCCTTAACATTTCAGAGTTTAATTAAGCACATAAAACTGTACTACTTAATATATTTCTCCATGAACTTCTTGTGAAACTCAGATCGCAGTGTGTCATTTACAAATCTTTTGTCTTTCTTCTGATTATCTATTCCTTTTGCACAGTTCTTAAAAATGACATCATCATCCCACCTTCTTTTAACCTTGAAGTTGGCCTGAGGCTGGGACGGGCCAGTGAGATTAAGGAGAGGGTTTCCACTCAGAATATTTTCCATGCGAATTCTCTCTTCTTCTGCTTTTTGTTCTTGTTCCTTCCTGGCCTGGTCCTCAGCTCTTTCCTTCTTGATTTTCTCCAGCTCTGCCAGAAGAGCCGCAGTGTCATCATCATCGCTCTCTTCTTCAAAATCCTCATCATCCTCATCCGTGAGAGGGTCATCGGCATCAAGGTTGGCAGCGGGGATCTGGTCTAAGCGGGGCTTCTTGGACACGGAAGAGGAAGTTGTATGTTCTCGGGTCGGATGGTCTCTAGTTTTTTCCCTTGCAGCAGCTCTCTCTCTCCTCCAATTCTCTCCTAAAGTCACGGTTGCGAACCTCTTCAGGAGCATCTTGTGTAGTTTGTCTGTATTTTATCTTTGTATGGGAGGGAAGGTCTCTGCTTGAATATTGCTTTGAGAGCTGGCTCAAATCCCTTTCTCCTTTTCCTCTTCCACCTCTGGCAGGTTCAAAAGTCGGTCTGGCTGCTGTTGTCATCTTTTATTCTCTTGTCGGGGACCGACGCAGCACCCTCCGATGTTCACCCACGAACCATTGCAACTCCAGGCTCCCAGAAACCTCCGCGCCCCGTTTGTCCTTCTTTTGAAGTCAGTTCTAATATACAGGAAAACTAAAGAGCCTGTAATAAGTGTTTTAAATGCAACTATCCCAGAATCTTAGGGGAAAAAAATAAAGGAATTTAGAAGTGTTGCTCAATAATACAATTTCTGCATAGCGTGATAGAAGCCCTGGTTTTTACTTCCAGTACCACAAAAACAGGTGACAAGTGGTCATTGGGGGGGGGCAGAGAAAAAGCCCCTGCGACCACTCAGGTGTAACTTGTGACAAAGCAGTTGTTGGAGGCTCAAGTTCAGCTTGAAATCATTTCGCTGCTATGAATTTCTCTGTAGCAAAATGTGTCATGGTGCGTATGACGATACACGTGTCACAAAACTGGAATGCATGTATAAAATAAACCATTTGTTAAAAACCTGTGAGCCAGCCGGGCGGTGGTGGCGCACGCCTTTAATCCCAGCACTTGGGAGGCAGAGGCAGGCAGATCTCTGTGAGTTCGAGACCAGCCTGGTCTACTACAAGAGCTAGTTCCAGGACAGGCTCCAAAACCACAGAGAAACCCTGTCTCGAAAAAAAACAAAAAACCAAAAATAAATAAATAAATAAACAAACAAACAAAAAACCACCTGTGAGCCTCACTCTTTCAGAACTTGGTCTTGTGTCTCCTAAGCCCTTAAGGTTGTCCTTATTAGTCCCAAGCCCTTTCCTCAGAATTATTTTATGCTGCTTCTTTTTACATTTTTTTCCCCTTCTAACTTGGATGTCCAGCTCCCAAACCACTACCCAGGGTAACTCAGAGAAGACTTCTCAGGAGCAAGGACTGAAAATTTTCACATGAGCTGAGAGTCATTCTCTTTATTATTCTGCAGCTCTAGTTCCCTTGCTCTAATTATCTCTGGTTCTCTTTAGTTCCATTCTCTGTGTCCTAAACCATTGGTTCCAATTCTTTCTAGTTCCAATTCTGCTTTAATTCTCTCTTTCAATTTTCTCTTGTTTCATCATTCACTTAGCTTAAATACATTTTTTACAAGACCTTGAAGCAATAAGGAAAAGAATTATAAGAGTTATACCTCATTGGTCATAGCGCATTCCTATATCCTAAATGATAAGGAACCAAGCATTTACCATGGCAATGCCAGATTTCAAGGTTCCAGGTGTAAGACTGTGACCAGAGGCCAGGGGCACGGTGCCTGATGAGACAAGCTGCAGAGAGATCTGCACAGAGGGTCAGGTCTTATCAGCCAGACTTGGCAAGTGAAGAATTGGCCTGATTTTTTAGGTGACTTTGCGTTAGTAAACTTGGTTAGACAGGTGCAACGCTGACCTTGTGCACATCTGTAAAGTTTTAACTTATGATCCATTTACAGAAATATTCAGTCTAGTTGGCACTTGCTCTGAGGTGAAAATGAGCTAATTGTATTTGGTTTAAAAGCAGGCTTTTAGGTGTCTTATAGTCCTTGTGGGACAATAGATCTAGTTTAAAGCATATCCTAGCTTATTTTCTTTATATCAAAATTATACAGATAAATGAGAAGTCATCTTCCTGACCATCCACAAATATATGTGCCCATAGACTGAGATACAATCACGAGATTACATGTACACATCATGTGTGATTACATGCTACAGTGCAGATATTGGGAAGGCACCAAAGCTGCTTTTGCACGTGTGAAATTGCAGACAGGAGCAGCAGTTTTCAGAGTTGTTGGTCCCACAGGCCTTTCCCAGATGGGATTCTCCTCCATCAGAGAATCATCCCTCTGGTGCGTTGACACCTGTGGTGACTTCCATGGCCTCTTGACAATAACCAGTGCTATCTACAGCCCAAACGGGCCTGAAATGTGTGTGTGTGTGTGTGTGTGTGTGTGTGTGTGTGTGTGTGTGTGTATGCCTGTGTGCATGAGAGAGAGAGAAGAGAGAGAGAGAGAACTTCTGGAAGTCAGTTCTTCCTTTCCACCATGGGTTCTGTGGTTTGAACTCAGGTTGTAAGGTTTGCATGGAAAGTTCTTTCAGCCTCTGTGCCATCTTGCCATCCCTTGAGTTCTGTAGCCC